TTTATTTGTATACATTTTTTATTTTTCAATTTAAAATTTCATCCATATACACACTTTCATAGAAAAATAGGTTTTAAAATATTACAATAAATTAAGTATTGTACACATAGGTAATAAAACCATATTTTATGCATTTATACACTGACTACAGTCAGATCTATAGATTACATACATTAGCCTCTTTCTTACACTTTCACATACTGTGCCCACTTGCCCAGTGCCACCACTCACTCACTGGTGTCACAATAGCGTGCATTTAAAAACCCAAAAACTTTTTTCACTGTATTAGATTGAATAGCAGTTAGTTGTCTGCAAGCGTCTGTGTGTCAGGCTCGCAACGTATACTGTGCCCACTTGCCCAGTGCCACCACTCACTCACTGGTGTCACAATAGCGTGCATTTAAAAACCCAAAAACTTTTTTCATTGTTATAGATTGAATAGCAGTTAGTTGTCTGCAAGCGTCTGTGTGTCAGGCTCGCAGCGTATACTGTGCCCATTAGCCCAGTGCCACCACTCACTCACTGGTGTCACAATAGTGTGCATTTAAAAACCCAAAAACTTTTTTCACTGTTACAGATTGAATAGCAGTTAGTTGTCTTCAAGCGGTTGTGTCAGGCCTACAACGTGTACTCTGCCAACCTCTGCCAGTTCACAGTGCCACTCATATCTGGTGTCACAGTAGCTTGCACGCATAGTACAACTAATCGAAAAAAAATGACAGGCAGAGGCAGACCACCCCTACACTGCGCATTGGGTAAACCTGCTGACGGCTGCCAAGCATGGAATGTGTGGCTCTGCAGAGGAGTTGGTGACACCGCCACGACTTGCAGGTAGGCCTGCTGCCACCTCCTCTTCTCCTCCTACGCCATCCTCTTCCATAACCTCCTCGGCTGAGTCCTCTTCTGCTGCGTCTTGCTCCACATCAACGGATAGGGGACGTAACAGAGATTAAACTGATAAGAATAGTACTACTTAACACACCACTCCTATCTGGTGGCACATTAGATTGCACGCGCAGTGCCCCAAATTTGAAGTAGGAGGACCAACCAAGCATCTTTTTCCATCTCCCGGTTCCTAAAATCAATGCCATATACACGTCCCCTGATAGGGGACGTAACAGGGATTAAACTGATAGGAATAATACTACTTAACACACCTTATAATAATGCAGAGAGAGGCAACGCAGAGAGAGGAGTCTGAAGAAGAGGAGTCAGAGGAGGAAGGTAGCTTTGAGGAGGTGGAAGACCAAACACAGCAGGCGTCCCAGGGGGCTTGTTGTCAACTTTCGGGGACCCTTGGTGTTGTACGTGGCTGGGTGGAGGAAGAGACCTTCAATGACATCAGTGAGGACAAGGAACGGGACATGGTTAGCTTGGTATCCAACTTTGTGCAAATGGGGAGTTTGCGGTTGTGCAAATGGACTGTTTGTGGTTGTTTGCGGTGCGTTAAACGGGGAGTTTGGTCTGTCACTGTGAAGTGAGCGTAACCCTTACACTACCTGATCGATACAACATCATACAGTAGGTCCCCCCCCTCATTATTTTTATGGCCCCCACCCACCGCTCATGGGTGGGGGCGGGCGGGAGGACAGTAGGTTCCCCCCCATTGAGATTTATGGCCCCCACCCACAATGCAGGGGTGGGGACCAGGGGGGAGGACAGTAGGTCCCCCTTATCCTTATTTACTGAATATTCCCCTGTATAACAATGTTTGGCATTTAGTGAATATTCCCTATTCTGCTCTGTGTCAGTGTGTATCAGGGATCCTTAGGATAGGTGTCAATCCATATCTGCCAAGTGATCCTATGTAGGGGGAACAGTCCCTATTCTGCTCTGTGTCAGTGTGTATCATGGTCCCTGAGGACAGGTGTCAATCTATATTTGCCAAGTGACCCTATGTAGGGGAAACAGTCTCTATTCTGCTCTGTGTCAGTGTGTATCATGATCTCTGAGGACAGGTGTCAATCCATATCTGCCAAGTGACCCTATGTAGGAGAACAGTCTCTATTCTTGCTCTGTGTCAGTGTGTATCATGGTCTCTGAGGACAGGTGTCAATCCATATCTGCCAAGTGACCCTATGTAGGGAGGAATAGCCCTGTCTCTTGCCTCAGCCCATGTACCAGGGGCTCTGAGTGAGGTGTCAACCACATCCTAAGTGACCCTATGTAGGAGGAACAGTCTCTATTCTGCTCTGTGTCATTGTGTATCAGGGGTCTGAGGACAGGTGTCAATCCATATCTGCCAAGTGACCCATGTAGGGGAACAACTTATTCTTGCTCTGTATCAGTGTGTATCAGGGATCTTTAGGACAGGTGTCAATCCATATCTGCCAAGGACCCTATGTAGGGGGAACAGTCTCTATTCTGCTCTGTGTCAGTGTGTATCATGGTCTCTGAGGACAGGTGTCAATCCATATCTGCCAAGTGACCCCATGTAGGGGAACAGTCTCTATTCTGCTCTGTGTCAGTGTGTATCATGATCTCTGAGGACAGGTGTCAATCCATACCTGCCAAGTGACCCTATGTAGGAGGAACAGTCCCTATTCTGCTCTGTGTCAGTGTGTATCAGGGATCCCTAGGACAGGTGTCAATCCACATCTGCCAAGTGACCCTATGTAGGGGAACAGTCCTATTCTGCTCTGTGTCAGTGTGTATCATGGTCTCTGAGACAGGTGTAATCCATATCTGCCAAGTGACCCTAAGGTAGGGGAAACAGTCTCATTCTGCTCTGTGTCAGTGTGCATCAGGGGCCTGCCGATATGTCCATATCTGCCAAGTGACCCTAAGTGTAGGAACAGTCTCTATTCTACTCTGTGTCAGTGTGTATCATGGTCTCTGAGGACAGGTGTCAATCCATATCTGCCAAGTGACCCTATGTAGGGGGAACAGTCACTATTCTGCTGTGTCAGTGTGTATCATGGTCTCTGAGGACAGGTGTCAATCCATATCTGCCAAGTGACCCTATGTAGGGTAAACAGTCTCTATTCTGCTCTGTGTCAGTGTGTATCAGGGGCTCTGAGGACAGGTGTCAATCCATATCTGCCAAGTGACCCTATGTAGGGGGAACAGTCTCTATTCTGCTCTGTGTCAAGTGTGTATCATGGTCTCTGAGGACAGGTGTCAATCCACATCTGCCAAGTGACCCCTATCTAGGAGGAACAGTCTCTATTCTGCTCCCCAGGCCAGTGTGTATCAGGGGCTCTGAGGACAGCGCTGTCAATCCATATCTGCCAAGTGGCCCTATGTAGGGAGAACAGTCTCTATTCTGCTCTGTGTCAGTGTGTATCAGGGATCCTTAGGACAGGTGTCAATCCATATCTGCCAAGTGACCCTATGTAGGGGGAACAGTCTCTATTCTGCTCTGTGTCAGTGTGTATCATGGTCTCTGAGGGCAGGTGTCAATCCATATCTGCCAAGTGACCCTATGTAGGGGGAACAGTCTCTATTCTGCTCTGTGACAGTGTGTATCATGGACTCTGAGGACAGGTGTCAATCCATATCTGCCAAGTGACCCTATGTAGGGGAACAGTCTCTATTCTGCTCTGTGTCAGTGTGTATCATAGTCTCTGAGGACAGGTGTCAATCCATATATGCCAAGTGACCCTATCTAGGGGGAACAGTCTCTATTCTGCTCTGTGTCAGTGTGTATCATGGTCTCTGAGGACAGGTGTCAATCCATATCTGCCAAGTGACCCTATCTAGGAGGAACAGTCTCTATTCTGCTCTGTGTCAGTGTGTATCAGGGGCTCTGAGGACAGTTGTCAATCCATATCTGCCAAGTGACCCTATGTCGGAGAAACAGTCTCTATTCTGCTCTGTGTCAGTGTGTATCATGATCTCTGAGGACAGGTGTCAATCCATACCTGCCAAGGGACCCTATGTAGGGGGAACAGTCTCTATTCTGCTATGTGTCAGTGTGTATCAGGGGCTCTGAGGACAGGTGTCAATCCATATCTGCCAAGTGACCCTATGTAGGAGGAACAGTCTCTATTCTGCTCTGTGTCAGTGTGTATCAGGGGCTCTGAGGACAGGTGTCAATCCATATCTGCCAAGTGACCCTATGTAGGGGAAACAGTCTCTATTCAGCTCTGTGTCAGTGTGTATCATGATGTCTGAGGACAGGTGTCAATCCATATCTGCCAACTGACCCTATGTAGGGGGAACAGTCTCTATTCTGCTCTGTGTCAGTGTGTATCATGGTCTCTGAGGACAGGTGTCAATCCATATCTGCCAAGTGACCCTATGTAGGGGAAACAGTCTCTATTCTGCGTCAGTGTGTATCATGATCTCTGAGGACAGGTGTCAATCCATATCTGCCAAGTAACCCTATGTAGGAGAACAGTCTCTATTCTGCTCTGTGTCAGTGTGTATCATGGTCTCTGAGGACAGGTGTCAATCCATATCTGCCAAGTGACCCTATGTAGGAGGAACAGTCTCTATTCTGCTCTGTGTCAGTGTGTATCATGATCTCTGAGGACTGGTGTCAATCCATATCTGCCAAGTGACCCTATGTAGGGGGAACAGTCTCTATTCTGTTCTGTGTCAGTGTGTATCAGGGGCTCTGAGGACAGGTGTCAATCCATATCTGCCAAGTGACCCTATGTAGGGGAAACAGTCTCTATTCAGCTCTGTGTCAGTGTGTATCATGATCTCTGAGGACAGGTGTCAATCCATATCTGCCAACTGACCGTATGTAGGAGAAGAGTCTCTATTCTGCTCTGTGTCAGTGTGTATCATGGTCTCTGAGGACAGGTGTCAATCCATATCTGCCAAGTGACCCTATGTAGGGGGAACAGTCTCTATTCTGCTCTCTGTCAGTGTATCATGGTCTCTGAGGACAGGTGTCAATCCATATCTGCCAAGTGACCTTATGTAGGAGGAACAGTCTCTATTCTGCTCTGTGTCAGTGTGTATCAGGGGCTCTAAGGACAGGTGTCAATCCATATCTGCCAAGTGACCCTATGTAGGAGGAACAGTCTATATTCTGCTCTGTGACAGTGTGTATCATGGTCTCTGAGGACAGGTGTCAATCCATATCTGCCAAGTGACCCTATGTAGGAGGAACAGTCTATATTCTGCTCTGTGTCAGTGTGTATCAGGGGCTCTGAGGACAGGTGTCAATCCATATCTGCTAAGTGACCCTATGTTGGGGTAACATTCCCTATTCTGCTCTGTGTCAGTGTGTATCAGGGATCCTTAGGACAGGTGTCAATCCATATCTGCCAAGTGACCTCATGTTGGGGTAACATTCCCTATTCTGCTCTGTGTCAGTGTGTATCAGGGGCTCTGGGGACAGGTGTCAATCCATATCTGCCAAGTGACCCTATGTAGGAGAACAGTCTCTATTCTGCTCTGTGTCAGTGTGTATCAGGGGCTCTGAGGACAGTTGTCAATCCATATCTGCCAAGTGACCCTATGTAGGAGAAACAGTCTCTATTCTGCTCTGTGTCAGTGTGTATCATGGTCTCTGAGGACAGGTATCAATCCATATCTGCCAAGTGACCCTATGTAGGAGGAACAGTCTCTCTTCTGCTCTGTGTCAGTGTGTATCATGGTCTCTGAGGACAGGTGTCAATCCATGTCTGCCAAGTGACCCTATGTAGGAAAACAGTCTCTATTCTGCTCTGTGTCAGTGTGTATCAGGGGCTCTGAGGACAGGTGTCAATCCATATCTGCCAAGTGACCCTATGTAGGGGAAACAGTCTCTATTCAGCTCTGTGTCAGTGTGTATCATGATGTCTGAGGACAGGTGTCAATCCATATCTGCCAACTGACCCTATGTAGGGGGAACAGTCTCTATTCTGCTCTGTGTCAGTGTGTATCATGGTCTCTGAGGACAGGTGTCAATCCATATCTGCCAAGTGACCCTATGTAGGGGGAACAGTCTCTATTCTGCTTTCTGCCAGTGTGTATCATGGTCTCTGAGGACAGGTGTCAATCCATACCTGCCAAGTTACCTCCTATGTAGGAGAATGTCTCTATTCTGCTTTGTGTCAAGGTGTGTATCATGGTCTCTGGAGGACAGGTGTCAATCCATACCTGCTAAGTGACCCTAAGTGGGGAACAGGCTCCTATTCTGCTCTGTGTCAGTGTGTATCATGGCTCCTGAGGGACAGGTGTCAATCCATACCTGCAAAGTGACCCTATGTAGGAGGAACAGTCCCTATTCTGCTCTGTGTCAGTGTGTATCAGGGGCTCTGTGGACAGGTGTCAATCCATATCTGCCAAGTGACCCTATGTAGGGGGAACAGTCTCTATTCTGCTCTGTGTCAGTGTGTATCATGATCTCTGAGGACAGGTGTCAAGCCATATCTGCCAAGTGACCGTATGTAGGAGAACAGTCTCTATTCTGCGCTGTGTCAATATGTCATATGTCAGGTATCAATCCATATCCATTGTGATTTAGGAATGTTAGGTGATTTCTGCCCTTTATGGATTAAAACCAGACTCTCCATCAACTGTGTAATTTTCCATGGGAGTTTTGCCATGGATCCCCCTCCGGCATGCCACAGTCCAGGTGTTAGTCCCCTTGAAACAACTTTTCCATCACTATTGTGGCCAGAAAGAGTCCCTGTGTGTTTTAAAATTCGCCTGCCCATTGATGTCTATGGCGGTTCGCCTGGTTCGCCGGTTCGAACAGTTGCGGAAGTTCGAACAGTTGCGGAAGTTCGCATTCGCCATTCGCGAACCGAAAATTTTGTGTTCGCGACATCACTAATCACTAACAAGTATTTTTATTTTATTTTTTTTAATAACAGTGTATAAAGCAAACTTAAAACTCTCAATGCCTGCTTTCTTTGTTGGTCAGATGAACTCTTTTGACATACAAAATTTGCTGAAGCATTTGAGAACCAAGGGTGGGCATTATTCTGGGTCCATCTGTACAGCTAAAAGAGAACATAATGTTCCACTAAAGGGTAAAAATCTGACTGAAGTAAGATATATGGGCTTTGTGCCCTAAAATTCATTGCACATTTTTTTTTTTTACAACAATTAAGCATTACAATCTGTCTGGCCCTTTCATGAACAACCAAGCACTTCTCATATGCTCATTTAAAAAATGATGTGTTCCAATTTAATACATTTATTGCCTTATAGGAAAACAATAATATTCTTTATAAAATGAATAAGTTTATTATATTTCAGGTTTCTTGTGAGTGGCACAATACAATTGACCATGGAATAGATAAAAAAAAACTCTCAAACTTAACATTTTCTTTGAAATTCAACAATTGCCTAAAACTAATTTACGAAGTAAAAAAAATTTTTTTAAAAAAAGCAATACCTGAAAGGCAATACAATTATGTGTTCATAAAAAAGGAATTGTTCAAAAATGATTATGGTAGATGTAAGACAAATCTGCTATAGTTCCTTCTTCTGCTTTTCCTAAGTTATCTAGATTTCCCATTGACAGTGCACAAGCAAATACGTGTGTGGTTGTCCTTCAGACATGGTTAATTTAATAAATTGTGACAGGATGACACTAAGAAATGGAAGAAAGACAGCATAGAACAATGAAGAAGTATGAATTCAATCAAATCTTTCTTTACTGATCACATAAAAAATGGAGTTTATGGACCCTTTGCAGTACATTCATGCTAACATATCAATGTATCTAATCATTAAAATGAAGGAACTCTTACCATTTAAGCTGAATATTGAAATGGTCTTAGCATAAATAAGTCCTGTAGCGTATTTATGTTAGGGATGGTGTAAGCATAAAACCATTTATAAAACCGAGAATAGATTTATCTGAAATTTAAATGAATGTACTTTGATGAAGCGGAAGCAAGCACATTTACTGCCATTTTTTCCAGATTGCTTTCACAAGTTTTATTTGACAATTTATTTGGCAAGAATATGTTTCTGCTTTTCCCATTCAAAATAAAATTCATGATATTGTTTATTGACATGTTAATCTAGCTAGACAGCATATCACAGAAATTAGTAGTCTTCTATGCGGACTCTCACCCATTTCTCATTTAAGGAGCTATAGAATAAAGCATCTACAATCAAGTCTGAAATAACCAATTAATTTATATGTGCTAGCATTACTTATTTGTCATTAATATTTTTGCTTCTTAAGACAGTGTTCATAATTAATGATGGTTATTAAACTTCACTTAAAGACAACAACAAATGACTAACATAACGCAGCAGTTCAGGTTATCGTTTTAATAATAATAATGTATTTCTACAAAACCAGATAATATATACACAGTGGTAAAAGCTGAATTTATTAAGAAAGGACATTTATTGAATAAAGTAATTAGGTCCAAGCATTTCATTAGCAGTGTGTCAGAGTTGGTTTACCCATATGGCAGCACAAGTGGCCGCCTTGTACCCAGGCTCAGATAGTGTGTGTATTTGTTCTAGGGAAGCTCTCATACCAGTAAGTTTTATTAAAGCTTTATTTGCACATTTATGAGTTTCAAATGTACTAAAATACCCCATTAGTTTAGGTAATACATGCAGCAGCTCTGTTTCAATGCAGGTGTACAAATTTTGGCAAAACAAAAAAAGCATTTATTTGCTCTATAGTGGATAAATAAATGTATTAGAAATCTGTACCTTTTCCTTTTCAACCATGTACAATTTTCTATGATGAAACACAAATATTTTGTATCTCTGTTGGACATGCTACACCTGCTTTGACGTGGAGCTGCTTTGTATATCTACAATAAGTGGTTGCCAAAAACATATAATTTATCAGAACACACACACCACACACACCTAAATTAAATAAATGTATTTTATTTATAAGTCCCTTTGCACCAATCTTTAGAGAAACGTGTTTCTTTATTTTACGTATGTTACCTCTGCATCTAGTATTTCAAATAGATGCTATACTCATTTGTTATAAGCATAAAACAAACCCTTGGTAGTTAAATGATTGACAGAAGACATGGTTTTGTCATTTTGTTTTTGTTTCTGTCTAAATAAGTATCTTTATTCTATTTAAATATAATAATGTCATGTTTGTTTTGCTGATTATGTTGATCATAACTGGAAAAGATAATATGGTTAATACAGTCAAGGCTCAACATATGTTGCATCTTCTTCAAGTGTCCTTAAAAACTAGTACATGGTGGGGAGAAAATAAAATTAAAGGAACGTGTTCATGTTAAAAATATAAATGTGTATTCCTAACGCTATAGTGCACTGTTGGCTGTTTAGATCCCTGGCCCCCACCCGCAGGGAGTAAAATAGGTATGTTACTTACCTTTTCTTCCTTACAGAGACAATTTTCACAGGCAAGCCCAACCTCCCTCTGTGCTGCATTAATTAGAAGGTCTCAGTTTTACTCTGCTATTTCATTGCAAGCTCATCTGGTGGCTCTCGAGTGATAGCCAGTAAAGTCATTTAAATCCTGCAATGAGAACGGCAATGTTTTCACCTTCAGGGTTAAAATAGTAGGGACATGGCACCCAGACTTCTTCATTGAGAATAAAACCTGTGTTGACTGTGCCCCCAAACTTATTCCCTATTTTTCAAAAAGGCATCCATTTTGTTTATGAGGTGGGTGAACAAGGGGATGACTTGTCCTAAACTGACATTAAAGTGGCTCAAAGCTTCAATCACATTCCTTAATGGCATTAGAACGGACATTAGCTGCCTTGCTATTGTCCAATACTCATGACTGTCCCAGTGGAGAGTCAACACTAAGAGAATGGCGAGAAGACTATGGATTACCATCTGCTGTTCCAAAATTCTTTCCAGCATGCCTTTAGTGAAGTTTCTCCATGTGCTGACATTGTGTCAATAGACGATGACAAGCCCTCTTTTCTATTGATCCTTCCTCAAGAGTTGGCTAACCCTCACATTACAGTGGAAATGCACAGCATTCCTCCTGCAATGCCCAAGTATTGCTTGCACCATTGAGTTGACTTCCTGAATTGCATCCTTCACTGTTAGATGTGGGGTGTGTACAAAACAGGGAACAGCTACAACGGATCTCTGTCGCTGACCTTTGACCATATTAGCAGTTCTGTCAGTGATCACTTCAGCATGTAGCAAAATACATTGCTAGCCTTTTTGCCCTACAGATTCATGCCCAACCTGACATTCTGTTAAAGTTGAATCTCCTTCACAACCGCTACTCTGCCCATCACAGTGTGCTGTCAAGAAGATGGAGGCATACTGGCAAACAAAACACTCCATACATACATGGTGAAGTCCACCCACTCACACATAACTTTAGCCAGCTACTCCTTCACTAATAGCACAGAGAACCACAAGGAAAGTATGTATTGTGGAACAGGGGACTGTACCAGCTGTTTAAAGGAGTACCTTCTTTAATGAATCTCCCCCTAAAGCAATCACCTTTCCAGCAGGTGATTTAGTTATTTTTAATAATAAATAAGGAGACCTAATGTCCTACCAAGCACCCACCCATCGCACCAAGA